CCTTCCCCTTCTTCTTCTTCTTCTTCTTCTTCTTCTTCTTCTTCTTCTTCTTCTTCTTCTTCTTCTTCTTCTTCTTCTTCTTCTTCTTCTTCTTCTTGATGGGTCGCTCATGGTTTGTCACTCATATCCCTGCTCGGATACTCATACACTGAACTATTTTAAACTGCTTTAAGCCCGTCACTAGTCTGATCAAGTTCTCTAAGTAAGTTTTCTTTGTCTACCTCTTTCTCCTTTGCCTTCTTTTTCTTTCAGTGGGAGCAGGATGTTCAAGATAATCATGTCGATTCAACTGTCCTAGGTAGTGCATCCTTTTGGTTTCTTGCTGGTCGTCTTATGTTGGTTTTTTGCTTAAAGTTGAAGTAAAACTTTGTATTAAAAACATATGCCAAAGACGACACCATGGAAGAAAAAGAACAAACGCAACAAACAAGCAAACAAACACATAGACAAACAAACAACTGAAAAGGAACGCTACCTGAACTCACCTTACGTCAAAAGGAGGAGAGAACTGCTCTGTCCACTGACCGACCGCTCGTGTCCAGTAGAAGAGATAAGAGATTATATGAGAGACATGAAGCCAAGCGGTCATCACGAATTGACAACACCCACCTGGAAATAAACCAGTCTGACGTTTTAACCCTTTCTTTGCGAGTAAAAATCTTGAATTTAAAAATTGAAATCTTTCAATTCTCTAGTTTAATACAATAGCGAAATGCACTCGAATTAGACCTGCTATGAAATTGAGATTGGACAAATTGGATCTTTTACACGTCCAGAAACACAGGTGGCATTTAATGTGAACAACACTTCATCCGGTGCCTTGCCGACAGGAGTGGGTGGTCATGGACCTCTGTTAACTCTGTCTTGGGTTGCATGTCTGTCGTTCTGGCTGTTCCCAGCCATTTTGTCAACCTGTACAGTCCTCTGTCTACCACTGACTCTTTTTCCATCAAACTTGCCTGCTGTTACAATACAAGACTAAGAAATTAGAAAAAGGTAGCGAGTCTCAAATTTATCAAAACTGTTCAAGAACGCTCGACCGGCAACTGGAACCAATACTATTCGCTCTGTAGCCATTACGAATCTAACCGAACTGTCGGAGCGCTTTGAACGGTCTTGGTTCAACCGATCTTTCCGCGAAACTTAAGGACGTGAATTTCTTATGGGGAGGCTTTCATTTCATTCCCAAAGACGCTAATTCGACGTACTATTATTACGACGGATATTACTTTTGGCTTGACTGTCAGTGCTAAGCTGGGTTGGGTGTGATGCTATTACATGTTGTATTATATCCAAATATAAAAACGAAGTACCCATATGTGTAAACAAACATTCTCAGAGTTGAAATCAATTGATCGTTTTTTAAGGGCTAGTAGCTCTTACAAATACAGCGTGTAGAAAATATATTTTCTGTAGATTTTTGTTTTATGATTTTGTGTGTTTTAGGCTTTATTTCTTTTGGGGGAGGGGGAGTATGAGCACTCAAGCAGAGAGAACGAGTGGCAAGCCATGACGGCCGTTGTCTGTCTTCTC